TTCTTCAATGGCAGTAAGGAATGTGAATTTATTTTCATGGCTTATGCTACATGATATTGAGAATATTCATTCCATCTAAGAATATTAAAGATGAAACTTTTTTTTGCGCTATGAGTTGTGAACTTTTTTTCACATTCTTTTGAAGGTCAATGAAAATCTCTCGCAAAAAGGAAAAGGGAAGAAAATCACATAACTTTTTAATCCTCTACACAAGAGTAAAAGTTTCGATGAGAGAGAATTTTTGTCCATTGAGAGAGTAAAATAAGAGAACATTTGTGGAAGGGATGAAGAGTTTGATGGTGGGAGAGGAAGTGAGCAACGCTCCAGGCTGAAAAAATACCACACAAAGGAAAATGTTGTGCAATCGACGTGTGTGATATTTTTTTTTTGGTTCTCACAATCAAGAAGAAAGACGTTTGGTAATGAAGAAGAAGGAATGCGAGAAAGGAAAGGGAAAAGAAATTTTCTATGCTACATGTTTTAACTGTGAGAACAGAAGATGAAGAAAAATCGATGTGAAAATGTGGAAAAGCGTCAACCAGATTTGGCGCTGAATAAATTTCTACCATGACGTATAAAAGTAATGAAAATTTCTTATTTTGCTTTTATTTGTCCACATTAAATATTTAAGGCAATCAATGACAACTGACACTTAGTGATATACATTTTATAATCCTACTAATTCCTACTTACCACAAATTAATTTATCAAGACTCTAATAAATTGGGTTAAGGCTAAACTTTACTTTCTAATGTGTCACTACCGTGTGTCTTTCACAATTTTTTTTTCTACAAGAAAATTGACGCCAAATATTGGTAAAACTTTTTCTTCCTTCTTCTTCTTCTATTATGACTCTTTTTGCCTTCAAAATGATGCCTTTTCCACACTATTATTTCTCTTTTACATTTCTTTTTTTTTTGCTTTCAATTCAATAGAAAAATCTTGATTTTTATGACTTTTATACAATTGTTATTATTATGGAGAATTTCTTGTCTAGTCGATTTTTGACATTAGTTGTTGTATTAAACTTGTATTGCTGTTTACTACTCGGTTATGTTAAAAAGAGTGATTTCTTTAGAATTTACTATGATGATGTCATTTTTAGAGAATCAGGGATGGTAAAAGGGGTCGTTGACTTATGACGTCCATCAAAAACCTGATTTTTAGACCCCCCTCCCCCACTCTGTCACAAATATTCTTTAGAAAAAAATTTTCTATTGTTTAAACTGTCACAAAATCCTAGACCCCCCCCCCCTAAATGTGGGACGTCATAAGTGAACGGCCCCAAATGTTTTTTAAGGTTATTCGATTCAAACAACTGATTTATTTTAATTGGAATGACTGGTTTAGACTTAAGTTTAAAACATCTTTAATTTCTAAATAGTGTTGCAAATGTAGATGTCTACACTAGATGAAGAATGTAGATTCTTCAATAGTTTTTGTCTAGCTAAGAAACTTTCTTCATAAAGATCGATTCTATATGAAGATAGAAAATCTAATCTACACAAAGATTATTTCTACATAAAGATTCTGTCTACATAAAGATTCGATGTAGATGTCTACGAATCTTTATGTAGACAGTTCCATGTCTACATCAGAGAAGAATGTAGAATTGTAGACATCTACATCGAATCTTTATGTAGACAGATTCTTTATGAAGAAATAATCTTTGTGTAGATTAGATTTTCTATCTTCACGTAGAATCGATCTTTATGAAGAAATTTCTGTTTTAGAATTTATCTGATCCAGACAAATGACCAGAATGCAACACTGTTTCTAAATTATAATCCAAACTCATTTCAACTATTCAAAAGTTACAAACCACTTGACTCTAGTCAAGCATTAAAGTATCAAAAAAAAATCCATTTTTAAAAAAATTAAAAACTTAAACAAATCAAGTTAAAAGACTTGCTGCTTTATTTTCTTAGAATATCACATAAAATGCTAATTCTATAAATTGTTTATTTTTTGTTTATGAAACTTCTATCCTTATTCTTTTCTAGTATGATAATAAAAATGAGAAAAGTTGCCACTCATAAAATATTTTCCATTTATTTTTAAACCTTACTTACTTTATCCAATGCGACACGGCATTTTTTGCAGCGGATATAAATTGCGTTTTGGAGTCTGAGGATAAAACTACTCAACTTAATCATTCAAGAGGCAAAATTGAGGGAGAAATTGGAATAATTTATAGCAAATTTTGCCGTCACTGCTGTTCAAGTACAACTATAAATCTCTAGTGGCAAGAATGAGACAAGATATAATAGCGAAAATAGAAATAAGTAAGGAACATTACGGCTATAGATTTTACGATGACACATTTGGGAAAATTCGCGACATTTTTCTTATATTTTTTCATGATATAGAATTTGTTCTGAATGGAATATTGTACGAAGCATAAAAGCAAATCTGAAAGAATTCGACAGCATAAAGAAAATCGAAAATCATTTTTTTCCTTCCTCCCTTGTCGTCTCATCTTTACGCCGAATGCTCAACAAATGTTATTGACGTTAATGGATTAAAAATAAATAAAAATGCAGAGCAAAAAAATATGTACATGGAGATTTATTGACGCGGCGGTCCTGATTTCATACTTTCTGATTCCATTTATGCTTTTTTTTGTTTTCGATGAAATATTTGGAATTGTTTGTTTGTGGACGTTATGCGTTCGTTTTGTCTGTTTAGTATGTAAACATTTGATGTTTGTACTCAAGGGACTGTGAGGATCAAATCGACACGCTCTTTAAATTCATCATCATAGCTTCCTTTTAACTTACAATTGCTGGGCATCAACTTAAAGTTTTCTTAACGAATTAGCCCTTTAAGCAATTCAGCATATTGAATTTTCATTAAGGATTCAAAATAAATTGAAGATACTAAAGTCAAAAAGCTCCAGGAGCTAAATATGCACCTTATTTATATTCCCTATTATTCAAACTTCAAACTTTATCCTCAATATTTGCCAATTTTTACGATATCATTCCCAATCTTTACGATCCGAGAATAGGTGGAACACACGATTGGAATGTTTTTTTTTTTCTATTAAGCATCATCTCATTCTGCCATATCGTGATTTATGAGCTTGCTGTGTTTCTAGATGTAAAAATGTATTGATCTATTCTTTTCCCATTCATTTTGCATTCATTGTAATGTTTATTATTGTTGTACATATGAAATGAATCATAACACATGCTAGTTAGTATGATATATCAATATACAAAGGACTTAAAATTTGTATGCATTTATGGATCGTTCATTCATTTCATAACAAATGATGTTCATAAGCATTTGAAAAGGTAAATGGACTTTATCTGGATTAAAAGTTCTGCAATAACTGAAAGAACTTTAAGATCGTATTATGAATATGGAATCTGCTTTCTACACAGATACAGCATTCTAATAAAGCTTCAAAAAATTTATGGAAACATTTTTCACTTTCTTTTACTTTATAAATCTTAGATTAAACTAGATTGTGATAAAATTGCTCACGTCTTTATGAAAAATTAAATCAATTTTCTCATCTCAAGCAACACTGAATCTGGAATTTTATGCAAAGTTATGAAAAAATATGCAGCATAATTTCTTTTTTTAATTAATTTTAAATCATTAAAAGAATATGGATTATGATGGATAAGAAAAATATTAAGAAGATTGGTTGGTATGGAATAATTGCTAATCTTCTGGTACTTAATTGTTTAAAATCTAGTGCACAATTGATGAATTTTAATTCAAAATTGTTACATTCTAGCACAAATATTAATTCTAGAGCAAAACTGAAAAAATCTGATTCTAATTCGCTGGATTCTAGTACAAAATTATGAAATTCTAATTGCTTGGCAAAAATTGCAATAATTTCTTTCTTTTTGACCAAAAACAAAAATGAATAAATACACAAAGCTGTTCCCAATCCTATTAAAAATTATATATTCCAAACATTCAAACACACCATGTAATTAAATACAAACTCAAACTTAAATTCCCAAAATAAAATAATATCGAAAAATGAAATTCCATTAAAATAAAATCCGAAACTGATTTCATCTCCCACAAAAAGTTCATTTTGCATTGTGGCAACGATTTGGTGTTTTACTAATTTAAATAAATACCGCCTCTGCAAAAAAAGGAATAAATGCAAATTATTTTAGTGGATAAATTGGACTGAAAAACATGGCTCATAAAATCAAAAATGTTGTTTTTAATTTCTCAAAAATACAATAATTTAAAATTTATTTCTCTCAGCATTGTGCTTAATTTTACATTACAATTTTTTTGTTACAATCATTTTGCAATAATATTTAATTAATGGCAAGATGTTAATTGAAAAAAAGGAGGATGAATAAATTTTTTAATTATCTCATTGAGCAATTAATGAGAAAATGATAAATGAAGAAGAAAAATTTCTAGACTTTTTAAACAACAAACGGATCAGAGATTGTTAAGCATTTAAGAGAAAACATGGTGAAAAAAATGTGGATATATAAATTAATTGAAAATTAATAAAATTTCATGTCATAATTTTAATGAATCAATATTATATTTTAAGGGGGGTTATGTGAAATTAATTTGATTGTAAGGAAACATCAATATTATATTTGTAAAATTGTGATCTGTATAATAAAGTAGCATGAGCCTGATTTTTATAGTATTCATTGGTTTTTAAGCTGCAATAGCTGTGGTCTTATACAGAGCTTTCAATCTTAACATCCTGAATATATAAGTATATACATTATTCTAGTACTAGTTTGAGTAGAATAAAGTTTCTACTCTCTTATAAAGCTAGTTGTGAACCCTTAGCTTAATCTACTTCATTTGATAAAAACCAGCTTAATGTGATACTTTTGATGAAAATTTCCATTATTTTGTTTTAGCCTGGACTTTTTTGCGTCAATTTAGCTTAAGGCTTTAAAGTTTGGACAGTTTTTCCATTAAAAATTGCCAGACTATATAATTGCCTCTATTGTGTCTTGTTTTAATATATTTGTATGTTCAGCACACTTAAGTTGAGTCAATTAGTTTTCAGACCAAAACTTTGTCCCCCGGAAAATTCTTACAATTTATATGAAGCATTCACGCTATTAAACCATCAAAACACAACAAAACTTCTTATTCCTTACAACAATCAAATTATTTCACCTTAAACCCAATTAATAGTTGACCATTAAATTAGATTGTAGCTACAAATGACTCTCATAATTAGTAATATGAATAAATTATTATAAAAATATTTCTTTATCAGTGCATGTCGGTCGATGGATGAATCAATTAACTTCGAGAATTATTCATATTTTTATATTATTTTGATTTGGTGAAGTGATTAAGATGAGTTCTGATTTAATGGATTTGGTGATGCACACTGCAAGAAAGAGAGAGAGAGAAAAAAAAATATTTTAACATTTCGCATTGTCGATTTAAAAACGATAAACTGGCATGCGCATATGAATTAAACGTTTTACTTTCAAAACATCCTCCTCAGCGGCAACCATAGCAGGTCTCTTTTCAATGCCATTCTCATGTTGGACCATGTGATGAATTTGACGATAAGTCTCTGAATTCTTCAGGAAGCTCAAGTCTTTCTCAGGCTTTTGATATTTAAGGAAGTTGACTCTGCAAGAAATTGGAATATTAATTTAATTATTGTAAGAGCTTGGGTGAGTCCATACTGATTTTTTTAAGAAAATATGCAAACATTTAATATTTTTTTTGGTTTTACAATTTTTTAAGGGACTTCTGAAATTTGTTTCAATTAAATTTATGTGACTGGGAAGGTTTTGCTCTAAAGCATAACGAAAAATCATAGCTAATAGGTTGGACCGAATAGCCAAGCTGGCATGACATTGGAATGATACTTGCTTCGATTTAAATCTAGCACCAGTACAGAGTAATACCGTCTAGGTGCCAGATTTACCGACTTGTGCCATTCGGGTGGGATTCAAACAAAAATGCAGACTAAGGTTTGCATATTTTCACAAAAATTTCAAAATAGATTAACCTTTTAATAAATAAAGCATAATAAGCACAAATATCTATTATATATGATACAATAAAACACAAAAACTATTGACATCATGACTTGAATACCTAATTTTCCCATATCGATTAGAAACTAAATGTTTTTTTGGTTGGTGGTTGGCTTTATAATTAGAACAAAATTCAATTAAATATAAAATCGACAAAACATAAAGAATAAGAGGAAAAAAAACAACATTTACATTGTTGCCGTTTGCTATAAATATCTAATTCACATTCGGCTTTTTGTTGTAAATGAATAATTTATTGTATTTATCAGAGAACTTACAATAGAGCAAGGAAGGCACATAGTAATAAAAAAATTGCGAAACGATCGAAGGGAAAGAAATAAAAGGAAGAAAATTTATTGATGTCTGATGATGGGAAAAAATATTTTGTTCTTTATTTCCCAACATTTGTTCTTATAAATTGATGACTCCTAATTTGTGAATCTGTATTTACGTCATTAAGAATTAGTATTATGAGAATTTTTATGTGTTTTTTGTAATGTTGAAAAACACGCAGATTATATTTGAGTTATAGGGGCATGAACTGAAGTTAGTGAATATGATTATAGGTTAGAATTGGGTGTTTTGAAGGTGCTTATGATGGTTAAAACTGATTCTGGTAAATTCGAATATATTGACTGAACATTTTAAAGATCTTATGAAGAGTTGATGGATTAATTCCTTAATTATGATCAATTCAACATACAGTATTGAGGAATAATACCATTGAAACTAGTTAATAGCATTTGATAAATCTATAGACATATCCCATTTAACAAGATCACAGCTGGTAATTTTTTGTGGAAGTAGGTATCCGTTCTGTAAATCCCTCGTTCACATAATCAAGAATTTAATGGTTTCATGAATTTTAATTGAATTTAAATCCTCTTTCAAAAATCAATTAAATACTTCCAACAACCACAAAATCTCAATTTTATTTCCCCTATAAACTAAGCACGTGTTCCGCTTATCATTTAAATTCAAATTCGGAAAATTTTCATCAAAATATTTGCATATTCAAATGTGTCAATAATCATTTCAGCACTAATTAATAAAATCATTTCCGAAAAATTTTAACTACCACATTTTAGTAATTTAGAAAGTTTCGTTCAATAAATTTTAATTGAGGAAATTCCACCCGAGTGTGTCATGTCAAACGAATTGTGTACATGAACAGCGCCAACATTTATTGATTATGCATACAGTCATGAGAATATTCAACATGTTGTCAATATGAAATACATGGCTTATAGTAAACAGACATTCTATTCAATGAATAATTAATATTTAGTGGCATTTAGGAGAGGAATCAGAGGTTCCCAAACTTTTTGGACCGCGACACAGTAATTCAATTATTTAATTGAAAATTTAGTGTTTCGTCCTTAAGACTTTAGGGTTTTGGAAGCACATCAGTGTATCGCGGACCATTGATTAAGAAGCACTGTCATGAATCATAGAATAATGAACATTACCTGTCGTCAAAGGTCAAAATTGGACTTTCATAATGGTGACTTCTTCTTTGTCAGTACATGTACATTTATAAGTAATGATGATGATGATGTATAAGTTATTACGATGATGATGAGAATGGCGATCATGAATATTTATGAAAGTATACACAAAATAAAGAAATAATAAAATAGTAATATAATGAAAAGTTTTAATTGAATCATGAATAAGTTAGTGTCTATGGAAGTGCAAAAAAGAAAAGTCAAAGGAAAATACATACCCAAGTGTTGTGCCCATAATAAGTTCAGCCTGTGAGGAAATAATTTCAGCAATCAACTCGTCATTCATTGCGTCTTTTTCGTTCTTCCACTTACGACCTCCTGGCAAAATGATGGGTCGTTCTTGTGGTTGTAATCCACGAAAATTTCTAGCTCTTTTCTGCTTAATTACTCGCTCTTCTGTTACTTTTTGCTTCAATTCAGCTGTCAATTCAGTCTTGGCATCGACTGGCTCCTGCTATTTTCATTTATTTTTTTATTTTTTGACGTGTTTTGCAGTTCGTTTTGAAATGTGTTTTTTTGCAGTTTTTTTTAATAATTATACATGGGGAGGTGGTTAAAAATAATTATCAAAAATTTTGATAGTAGCAATGATGAATGTGAATGCGGATGATGATGTATGATGAAAAATGCAGAGAAAAGTGATGAAGAAGAAGAAGAAAAAACAATTAATTAAAAGTAAGGTTAAGTTTTTCTTTATAGCAACAAGTTTAATTTTTCATATTTTTGTCTTTTGGCTTGATTAAAGTCATTGTGACTAATAATCGCTAAATTTTTTCGGTATCGGCACCTCAAAATGATATATTGGAACTGTTTCCACACAGTTTTTGTCTTCGATTTCGCGCACACCATGAATTGTCCATGGGCCGATTTTAACGCGTGACTTCTACAAATTATTATTTTTTAAATACAATTTAGGTAAGTTTCGTTGAACATCGTTGAGTTTATTTTTTAATTCGAATATAAAGTGGCAAAATTTATGAAAATGTGAAAGGTGAAAATTAGAAATAAATCTTTTTGATGTTTATAAAGTTTGATGACTTTTTTGATGGATATAATATAGCTTTTGAGTTCTCTGGGGGTTCTTGTGAGAGATTTCACTTAGATTTTCTGGTTTGAGCATGTCTGGGGCAAGTATCTCAGATCAAGCTTATTAATTTAGCGACATTAACCCCTAATAAAGTCCAGATGCTTAGAATATTCTTAAACACAGCTAGATAACAACGCTGATCTAAACACCAGCGAATTATATCAAAAATATAACTCGACCCAACTCAGTCTCGCCTCACTTACTACCAAAATCCTCACAGACTCAAATTGTGTCTCGTCTCGAGCAACAAAGTCTCGTAAGATTACTTTGCAATATTCAAACAATTGCCATAAAGTAGACAAATGTCTTCATAAATATGAAAAAAGCATGCACGACTAAGAAAACATTTCATCATTGCCTGTTGATAACAGAGACGTAATTTAACCACAAAAAGTTGAAAAGAAAAATTATTGAAAAATAATCAAATAAAAGTGGATATGAGAAGTTCAGTGAAAAACAAAATTGACTTTACGAGCCACAATGATAATTTTATGGATTGTCTGAAGCAATAACGAAGATGTCTCTGTCTTTTGTCGATGAAAAGGCGAATGAAAAGGAATTGAACATGAAAACTTTTGGATTATGTTGATTGCTTTTTTCCTGTCTATATATTATATGAAAAAGTCAGGACATAAAATTGACTTCATTGATTTTTCACATTGATGACTTTTTTTTTCTTTCAATTTAGTTGTCAGACATACGAAACCTTTCATATTATTATTATTTTTCAGTCATATCAATTCTTCGAAATAAAGAAGACTCAAATAATTTTTTTCCATAAAATATTCCAATGAATTGAGTTGTCTGCAACTCTTATTGCTCGCATATGATACAAAATCCATGACTGCAATTTATTAAAATTAAAGGATCAATATCAAGCTTCATGAATCACGATTTAAATAAATTAAAAGTTAAGTAACAAAAATTATTAAAATGTAAGACGAGTCCCTGAAAGTAATCAACTTTGTAGCAATATTTCATTATCCTTGGGATGGGAAGCCTTCAATTCTTCATTATAATAAAAATGTCTTCAAGAACAAAAATTTTATGCATTGATACTTGAATATATGGAACGTGTGCAACCTTACATCAACAATTGGATTTGTTTCATGTGAAATCATCCATGATTCAGAGCGTGGGATGTGTTCTTGACTGCTGAGTTTAATATTTTGTTGCTTGATATATTTCGCAATTTGATCAATTTTGTATCAATCAAAATTTTGAGAATAGCTTTAATGACGAAATTCATTGTCTTTGTCATTTGAATCTGAACTTTAAGACTTTTGGATTAGATATGAATTTACATAAGGCTAATGTTGGAAGTCTGGCCTAATTGATATAAATATCTTGTTAGGAATCAAGTAATTCCACCTTGAATCACTCAAAACTTGCGAATCAGAAACTTAAAGCTACAGGCTCATTATGCTTTCATTTTATACCAATGATGAATACACAGGCAAATTTTAAGAGTTAAGAGCACTCAGAAGCAAGAAAAGAGATTCCCTAAAGTAATCAAAGAATCTCACAATTTTTCTTTTATGTCCTGAAGACAGAAACTTTTGCTTTTCATAAATTTCCGATTCCGCTTTCTCTCAAATTTTACAATCCCAGAGAACTCAGTGAAAAAGAAAGACTTCCTGCATAAACTTACTAGAAAATTATATTCATGATACAGTCTGTGTTGGAGAAATATAAAGGCATCGGAAGTCTCTTTTTATGTGCCGAGTGCAAAGATTCTTTTTTAAAATGAAGAAATAAAAATCCAAACTTACTTTCTCGCGTTTCTTTTCCCACAATTCGCGGAACTTTCTTTGAGATTCTTCATATTCATCAATCTCATCTTTTGTTGGATGATGTTCCATTTCTTCTTGATTCATTTGTTCTATCTGTTGCTGTTGCTGATTAACAATTTCAACTTCAACTGTCTCTGTTACTGTCGTAGTGTTTTCAACTGCACTAATTGTACTTTCAACAACAACTTGATCTGTCACTGCTGTTGTATCAACTGTTTCTAAATTAAAAATTCAAAAAAGAATTCGTGAGAAAAATTCTCGAAATTTATAAAATATAAATCTTTTAACCTTCATTTGCCTTCGTATTTTCCTCAGCTGTCGAATTATTTTCGGGCTCAACAGATTTCTGCTTGTATAATTTGGACGTCGGTATCAATGATTGTAATTGTTTTGTTATTTCATCCAGGGTTGATTGAATTGTTTTTGGCAAGTGACTCAATGCCATCAATTGAGATTGTACATTCTCAAGTTGCTCAGCGAATGCGGAACTTACGATACTCACTTCATCCGATTGACTTTTAATTTCTTCAGCAACTAATTCTTCATTGACTGCATCACCTGTAGCATCGGCAGCAAGCTCCTCGAATGTAACGAGTTCTGTTGTTGTTGTTGACGTCATTTCAGTCGATGTAATGATAGTTTCAGATGACATTTCTGTTGTAAATTGTTGCTCTTGAACTTGAACAATTTCCTGAACTTCTTCTTCATGCCTTTCTTCGACAATTTCATTGTTGACAAATTCATTTGATGCTTGAACTTGTACTTGAACTGGTTCCTATAATAAAAGTCAATGAGAAACACATATGAAGCCTCATTAATTTACAATTATGTGAAACTTACAGGAGGTGGAGTTGTTCGATAGTCTGGTGCACATTTAGGCTTCGGTTGTTTTACAATGACTGGTCTATATGTGTTTTTAAAGATATTCGCATTTCTTGGCTCTGGTGGTGGTCGTTCTGGCTTTTGTAAAAATGTTGTCCAACGTTGACTTTCTTCAATCTCTTTTGCTTGCAAGTGCTGATCGTTGAGAACTTGAAAGACTTCACTGCGCTTAAAGACACCTGACTTTGGCATCATACGATTAAAATTGACACTGAAAATTGTGAAAAATAGAATGTGATAATTGACAGCTTGATATGATGACAACAAACCCCAGAACTCCATGTTCTTTCAATAACTCTGCTTCCCCACTGAGCAATTCAGCAATTTCCTCGTCTGTCACGGGCTTGTCAGGTATGATTTTATCAATTCTCTCCTGTTCCTGTTTCGTATCAGCATCAGCAACAGTTGTATCTTGCTGTTCCGTTGCATCCACAGCACTACCATCTGCCAAAAGATTCGTTGCACTGCAAAGTGATAAATTATGTCAGGAGGACTTTACTTCTCTCATAGAAATGAAATTCTATTTTACCGTAGGACACTGACAGTAAATTCATCTCCAGCTGCGACAAGTTCGTCGTGTGCACTTTCATGACTCATATTTATAGTTGGATTATCATTAATTCGAACGACTACATCACCCTCAAGCATTCCAGCTCTATGTGCAATTCCACCCTCAACAACCTGTATAGAATATTTTTTTTTTATTGAGGATACAATAGTAAAGAATGATATTGTTTTTTTAAATGGCAGTTCTGTTGTGTTTTTCATTGCTTTTATGAAAATGGAATTTTTTATGTAATTAGGAAAAATGGAATTCCACTTTAAAGCAAACAAGAACAATTGTCTGGAAATCCATTTTTTAAAACTCATTTATTCAGTGAATGTGAACGCGACAAAATATGCTTTCAGTAATAAAATGTTAACGCTTTTCATTTATGAAATTAAAATGAAATGCTTGCAGTGTGACAGGTTTGAAATGCAGCACAACAATAAAACATTTGAATATTCACTTTTTGTTGGCTAGATTCTATTGTAAAATAACAATTCAGATGAGGATTTTCATGGAAATGTTGAGTGCGCTATGCATTTTCGATTCCCTGCTGAATTTAACGAACTTAGTTCCGCAAAACCGCATATTTAATTTATAATATACATTTTTCCTGTTCGGGAAAAATCACTTTTCATTTTCCTTCCCACATTTATTCCCACTACATTAAACTTCAATTTAAAATAAGTAAGAAGAAAAAAATTGAATTTTCTATTTTCAGACATAGAATTTTCATTCTTAACTGATCACGCACAGTTAGTGACGCAGTGTGCAATTTAATCGATGATTTCATTGTGCTTCTGGTATGCAAATTTCTCGTAGATTCCTAAATTATTTTAATGAATTGCCCACGTGATTGCAATTTATTGTTCAAATTACAATTAACAATACAAGGGGTTAGAACTTAATCAATCTGAATCAGCTAATAGCTTATTCGTTTTTTTTTTGGAGCTTCTATTTCAGGACGTACGATTCCAGAAAGCAAAAATTTGCATTCACTGGTGTCAAACTTAATATTCCTGAGTTTTCATTTCAATTTTTCAGGACTAGAACGTCAGACCATTCCAACTTAATGATCTTATTCCTTACTGTCAAATTTAACTAAATCACAGCTTAGTTGCATTAATTACTCTAGAATTATTATATCTGAACCAACTAGCAATCCTTAAATTGTAATTTTTAATTTACTCTTAAAACTCTCATTCATGGAAAATTAATTTAAAAAAATATTAGTGCAGGAAATTGCATTGCAGGCAAAATAATTAATAAAATGAAGCATTTAATTTCCATCACAAAATGCATTTCCATCAGAAATTTTCAATGTAAAGAATTTTTTTTTATCGTATTTTGATTGAATTTTCCAGAACCAGAAGCTGAATTTCATCAATTTTTCATTTCATTTTCTCACAAATTTTCAATGCATATTGAATGAAGTGAGAATTAATTGACGATTTCGATCTATCGACAATGATTTATCCACTTATATCTGCATTTGTTTTATACTTTTTTTTAAACAAAAAGAAGAAGTCGAAATGCTTTAATAAATGAAACATCGATTTATTTCATTTGAATACATTATATTGTATATATGCAAGCAACAAGAAGAATTGGAAATACAAGTGCAACTACTGTTCAGTATCAACTTCAATATAAATAAACCAAATGCCTGTCAATTGCATGTGACTCGAATTTTATTTTTAAAAATAAATCTTGCAATGAGAAAAAAAAGAAACAAAACAACAAAAAAAAAATTCTCGATTAAATCAGAGTTTTTAGCGTATTTTTGAAGATGCACAGCTTGAGGATTCGCTTTGGGATCATTCTTTGCAATCAGGAATTTAAAGAATTCGAGTTTCACCGTTTGAGTTTGAAAAACCGTTAAAAATTTGAATTTTTAAAAACTGTAAGATGAGAATCCTTTCGATTAAGGAACTAATGAAGATGCTTCTTGCCTGTTAAGTTATACATTTTTCTTTTTAATTTATCATTTCATCATTGATTGCTACTTTAAAAAAGCGCTTAAGTCTCTCAATCAATTGTGAGGATTTTCTTAACTTTAATTTTTTTTGTGCATTATGCAATCAGAAAAATCACTGGCATTCACTTAATTGTGTCCGAAATTATCCATATTTAATCATATTCATATGAGTTTTATCCACTTTCATATGTTGCTTGACACTCCCCCAAAAAAATATGTTCAATCCATAAAGTTAAAATAAATTTACGTACTCTGGACACTGTCAAGGGAATTTCAAAATCACTACCACCAATTAGACGAAAGCCAAATGGCTGGCTTGGTTCTCGACGCAATGTTATGTCCACGACCATGATTTATGATTGAAAAAAATACTTCACGATATTAATTTTTTATTATTTTTCAATATTTTGCAGCTGAGGATATACGCGATGGAATTTTTTTAATCCACTTCCTATCTTTTCTCTTGTCCGCTCGATTAATCGATTGTTGAATGTAGACTAAAAGTCAATTTCGAGAGATAATTATCTTTACATTCACTAGATGATTTGTGGACGAGTTTTAAAGAGTTTAATCGTGATTAAATGCTCAGTTAGAATACGAGATATTGTCGTCTAACGACTGCTCATTGTATGCAATTGTATTGATAAATATTGAGAGTGAGATGAAAGCTAAAAGGTGGCTGTTAGCACGTAAAATAATCACTGAGCAATTTTCTCTATCTATCGACTTTTTCTCATACCAAAAGCATTTATCGTATAGAGTAAATATTGAAACTATCAGCAATAAAAAAAATTGCCATGACTGCAACCAGTTGAATTGAATATCAAAAAACGATTCTCGATGCGATTAAATGAGAACTGAAAGAAAATGAAATTCAATAATATTAAATTAGATCTGTGATGATATCGAGTGCTTGCAAAATTTCTGTTTCAGTTTCAATTTGCAATTTTTTTTTCAGGGTTCATTAAGCTTCTAGTAATGTTATGCTTCAATTTATAAGTGAATACTGTTAAATGGAATAATTTTCTACATTTTAGTTGAAGAAGTCGAGTATCAAGTAATGAGAATTTTAATGGATTAGCAAAGTTGCTTTTATAAATTGAGGATTAGCTATAAACATCCATAAAGAAAAATCAAATATTGTCAGAGCTTAATTTCCATTTTACTATGAATCAATTTTTTATGTAAAATCCATTTATATGCTGTAATCAATCAACATGACACATGTTGCGATATGCAATGTATTACAAGCTATAACAATAAGTCAAATTGTCACACAAGTTTTCACCTCTAAATGAAAGAATTAAATGTTGTAGATGACATATGCGACAGGTACCTTTATCTCGTTTTAAATAAGTCATCAGCATAGCAGTGACTTCATAAACTTTTTGATGAATGTGAATCAAGGTTTTTAATAATTCAATGGATTTAAAAGATATTTGGAAAGGATTAGCTTGAGTGGAATTGCAACCTATTTGTTGCTCAAAGTGGTTGTCGATGGGTTGTGCCTTTAACTCACTCAAATTGGATCGGAATCCTTTAAAAATCTTGATACTTGATACTAGATATAAATTCTGTTCTAAAGCTTAGCACATTTCATGATTACTGCACAGAAATACTTGACCAAGACCTTCAATCCTCTCTTGTTCATGCCTATACTGAATTCAAGAACCAATTTGACTTTCATATTCACATTTTGTATTTTCAGTATAATTTGCATAGCTATCATACCATAAAATTGCTAGTAAGAGTAGCATGCACATTTTTTTTTGCGGATTAAATGCCAAAGTTGTCGATGAAACGAAGAAAAATGAAATTTTAAATGTGTTGCAAAAGAACTTTAAAGAGCGCAACGGGTAATGCTAATGCTGATATGCTAATTTCCATAATTACATCACGTTGAAACTTCTTGCTGCTCGAAAAGTCTGCTCAATAACAATGTTGTTATTAATCCAATCTACCGAAGAATTTAATTTTTCTTATTAAAAGAAAATTTTTATTTTTTTCGCTGTCGTAAAAGTTGCTTCAAGTGCAAATTAGTTTATAATCATGTCGTCGATTGTTTTGTTTTCAAACTGTCCAAACATAGCAGCGACTCTACTCTCTTCTGGATCAACAGAGTGTGTTGATATCTCCTCGACACGAAATTGTATGATTAGAATTAAGTATGTAGTTATAGATGAAATAATCTGCAATCATTGGAGTCAGTTACTTTTTTGTGTAAATAGAATTTGGTTTGAATTAATGAAAACGAGAAAGCTTGTGAATTAATATTGATACTGCAAATATTGACTTAATGCTTGGTTATCCTTTCATATGATTCATATTCTGGACTTCATTTTACCACAAATTCTATTGCAATTTATATTTCAAAAACTCTTCAGGGATTATTCCCAAATGATATCAAATAAAACTTTTTTTAAGATCTTCAAAATCATCAAGATTGCGTTAGTGACAGAAATTCTGGCTATGAAACTGAAGGCACCATTCTGGCTCTATTTGCACATCATTAGGTAATAGCTTTTATTCATAGATTCTGCATCTACATTCTAGACGCATCCTAGTAAATTAATTAAAATATGATTCATCTAGTGCTCTTAATCGCAGTCTCAGTTAAGTCAACTTATATAAAAGCCCAATTTAAACAAACTCATTAACATCCTACTTCCTTTACATAAAAAGCAGATTATCGCATAACATAACATATATCATACAAGCTACTCCATTACTCCCTCTGAAATTAAATAAACATTATCACTAATTTCAGAGATACTTTGCGAAGTAAACCGTGTGGGAATCTCATCAGTAAGTTAATTTCCCAACTTTTTGACCACTTGGCTTTGAGTTCTATTACATAATCCGTATCATTCTATTAAGCAGCATGTAAACTTTCTAAAATAAACAGCATAGCAATTTCTATTAGCTTTTAAGAAGCTTAGTACTTAGTATAACACAGGCAATGCATTAAAGGAATTTAATTCTGTTTGCACGTTGCATCATTTCATTTTTATCATCAATTAAGGAGTAAGCAGAGTGATAGTGCAAAGAGAATCAACGATATTATCATTAGAGTATGCAACATAACATCACATCGTTGACTTTCTTTTTAATATTATTAATTCATAAATATTTAAATGAACATGACTGAATGAAATATGAATGGAATGGAAGAAGAAGCTAGGAATGAATTAACATACCGAAAACAGCAGAGATTTATTAACGGTGAATAATCCACATACCGTGACATCAAATATGCAATGCATTAATTGGATGGAATATGTTTCAATTTGACATGCGATCTGTGTGTAAGTTATAAATCATAGATTAGTAAATGCCAGATTTGCTTTGATTTTTAGAGGTTCTGAGAGTTCATATCTGGAAACAGATTAGCTGCCAATGATTGTCCTTTTGTCTAGACATTATTAAAGGAGTTAACTCAGAAAGTCAGTAGACACCGCTGAATCTCAGAACCCCTAATTCAGTCTTTACTTCATATAAATTCATTACCATGTTAATTTAATTTCAACTATCTACAAGAGTCATATGAATATTATCATACCTTTGCACATCTCATTGCACTTCGACATGACATGCTGATCTGTTGCAAAATTGATGAGCATTCCTCTGATTCCATCTTTAACTTATTATAAATGAATATGATTGAGATGAATTCATACATATAAAGTGAAGTTTGAGCGCATGAGGAAAGTATAAACTCCGTGCTTAGATTTATATCATTCTCAATGGCTACAGACATGTTGAGGTACAGAAAAAATAACTGAAAATAAAAATGGGGTCGTTCACTTATGACGTCCGAAAATAACGGTCATTTTTCAAAAAAGAACAGTGGATTTCATGGAATTTCTATTGTTCTTTTCTTGCTGCCCCCCCCCCCCCCCCCTGGACGTCATACGTGAACGGCCCCAAAGCATAAAGACGAGAAAGATTTTCTTTTGATTAAATGAAAAATGAATTTATCTTTCTTAATGTGTACATAATCTGTGAGGATATTATTTTTAATACAATGAATAATAATGGGATGCAGGTTTATGGGATTTATTGTGAGATGATGAAACGAGTGGATTTTTTTTTTGTGTGGGTAGAAATTTAAGATTATTTTTTTATATTGTTTTAAAGACATTAAATATGAAGAATAAATTATTAAGCTGATTGAAATGATTATGTATACACAGCATAAACAGAAATTTATGACAACAGTCCTTACATCCTCCATGAATTTATCAAACATTTTTGATTAGCCCGAACCAAAATAAAATCTTTGATCTCAAGCTCAAAATCATTCCATTAAAAATCAAGACTATCAAATGAAACATAAAATCTTCCTCACATCCCTTCTAAGTTCACAGTCATAAATGTCAGAGTTATCAAATATCCTCATGACATTCATGCATTATAAATACTTCCCATCTTTTCACTACTTTAATGCCCATTTGTAACATTCATGTTTCAAAAGCAATAACTCTGCCTGTCTTTTTTTCATACTTTTAACTATTTTCTTTAAAAATAATGCGCCTTCAATAATCACAATCCAAAACAGCATTCATACCAGCTCTATAAACCTCAAAGATTATAAAAAATGATGAAAAATAAATTTTACCTCAAAGATAACGTTAAGGATGCAATATCCAATAATAAAAATGATATATTTAGCATTGAGATCATGGTACTTTATAAATAGCTGATGCAATGCCGTGTGATTCCTTAAAGACATTGAAATCTTCTCATCAAGAAAAGCGAGAAATTTCTCTCGTAATAATGAAACTTCTTGAATGTCAATAAACTCCCGACATGTCATCTCTGTTGCTCTCAAATTTTCATTACCGACCTCAATAAAAAACAAGCAGCACGTTGCGGCAGTGTAGAAACGATTTGATGCAAAGGTGATTATAACACTCGGTAGAAATAGTATTACAAATGGAATGATTTCAAGATAAGAACCATCTGATGACATTATAGGCAGTTGAATTTTGCTTATATTTATGATAAGAAAGCCAGACAAAAGGATAAATGATCGCAAAGCGCATTTCTTCATCAACTTCATCCTTAAATCATTAACAAAATTTTCACCTTCCTCACTTTTAAAAACGATGACATAACGATGATACAAGGCCATAGCTTGATTATAGATCGCACATACTGATGATGAATTTGATGGTTGCACTATGGGGCAAAATGAAAAAAAAAGGGACTTTCACTTTGAAAAATGGACTTTTCCGATTTACACTTTTTGGGTGATTTTTTCTTGTAGAGGACATAAAAGTAGATAGAAATGCCAAATTTCAGGTCATTTGGTGCTGATTTCGCGATTCTAGAGCTGTTTGAAGTTGAAAACTAGTGAAAATTCTGGTTTTTTCATACCATGTTTGAACCGGGAAATATCTTAACTGGTTTAAGATATTGCAAAACGGTTTTCAGTTCCTATTAGTAGTATATAAGAGCTTTATTTTGACAT